CTCCAGGCACCTCTGCTGTCCACCAGCTGCTCCTCAGACAGAGGCTGGTTGTTGATGGGGTCGGTGCCGTTCTCGGCGATGTACTTCTCAATGAGCCGCCGCTCGTAGATGTGGTTGGAGACGGGGGACACGCACGGGTGCTCCGGCACTTCATTGGAGACTGCGGAGACGGCAGGCAGGCACTGGGGTGGCGAAGGGGCGCCTCCTCTGCTGCCGGCCCCAGCACGCCGTGTGTCCCCACCCTCAACGAACAGGAGTCAGGACATGACACCACGCCTGCTCTGTCCTGGCCCCGAACGCTCCCCTGCGACATAACCTGACAGCCAGAAGCCCACACGCACTTCCTGCACGGCCGGTGCCGGCACCTGAGAGCAGCCACCCTCCCGCCGCCTCGCTCTGGACGAGAGGCTCGCACTGCGGGACATGCAGACACACAGGCCACTGGAACCTCAGCCCAGAGCAGTGACTGTCACCCTCTTCCCTCTCCCGCGTAAACTCATTCCTACAACCCCGCGGCTACAGTGTCTGTCCGGCTGACACAAAGAAGCATTTATCGTTTGATTCCCTCCACTGGAGGCCAGTATCGTGTTGGCTGCTGCCATTTCTCTGTTTGACAACCTAAGGGAAAGGGGTCCCTGGCCCTGCCTAACAGCCAGGTATTGCGTGTTTTCAAAATTCCTGCAACCACCAGCGGAACATTGCTGGTCCGGAGCCTGGACGGAGTGTGGGACAAAGAAATGACAAAGCAACGTGACAGGTGCTATAAGGATACAAAACAGTCACGTGTTGTTTACTAGTCGCCAAGCTCCACAGATTAATTCATCTGCACCATCTCCCGCAACAGAGGCACCATTCCCTCGCCTGCTGCTGCTGCTGCTGCTGCTGCGCAGTGCGCATCCCTTGAGGACCGCGCTCGCAGCTGGACTCCCGCAGCCCAGCAGGCGCTCAGTAAACACCGTAAACACGTCGCAAGCAGAGGAGGGAAGGGGCGGAAGGATGCTGGGGATATGGGAACGCGCTTCCTCCAGACGGAGAGGAAACAATAAATGCGAAATACTTGCACACGGTGACTTCTTCAAGGCGGAGGCTTCCTTCTGCTAATCACCACTGCCCTTCCTTTTCTTTGCCCGGGAGTGGGGGGCGGGGGGGGGGG